TTATATATTTCTCTCTATATTAATAAAAAAATAACAAATTAAACATGTATTTGTGTCTATCTATCCTTGTGCTTGGTCATGTGAGTCCAGATCCGAACATAAACTTTAGAGGAAATTATGTTCTTTGGATGATGTTGGAGCATGTGAAACTTGAAGGTGGAATATCAAGCGTTGACTCCTACCATTTCAAACTCAGTGACAAGCGTGGTTTCCCCTAGGCCAGGAGTTGGCAACCTATAGCTCCAAAGTCGCATGTGGCTTCATGACGTTATTTATTAAGGACCGTCTCGTATTCACATGCATTGCTGCTCTTGAAATAATTAGTGGGTTTTTTTACCAAATTCGAAAATAATTGCCCTTATTTTGGTGGCCGACCACTGCCCTAGGCTAATCAATTAATCAGTGCTCGTGTATGTTTAAATGTAGTATGTGCGTCCTGGTAGAAAGCTGATTATGACTGAAGCTACATTTTGTGCTTTGGTAGTTTGATCATTTACCATGAAATTCACTGAACATAAGAAATAGGGGTTTCCCCTTTTTTCTGGCAACAAAACTGAAACCTTTTTACAAGGAATCATGTCTGCATTAACCACAATACCTGTGGTCAAAATGCAAACAAAAAACACACTTAGATAATATATGCATTGTCCTTGAAACTGATTGGTCCACACCAGAGACAGCTTTCTTTTGAGCCTCATCCCAATTGGTGCTAGACCAGAGGACACGAAAAGGCATACAGCTCAAAGACAATGCACTATCAAAGTAATGAGGGCTCGGGGTAAGCAGAGCCAACGATTTTTCCCAGATCGTATAAATGACATTGCCACTGTCAGTGGTGTACTTATCAATGGAGTCTGAAAGGAGCCAGGAGCTTGCAGAGCACACCCTGATTTATTTACTTTCAATGAAGTTGGCACCGTATGTCGTGGTGCCATCAAATGGCTCAATGAGGTCCATCCTCAAAAAGGCCTGAAGACGTGAAGTCACCGTCGGCATGGATATTGGCAGTAGGTGAAATTCCTCGTTACATGCTCACGGCCTCCATCTTTCCCTCAGCCAGTGAGATATTGCCCTTCATCGCCACTTGGGATGACTGCTTGACCGGACCGGGCAGTTTGCAGTCGGCCTCACGCATCGTAGTGCTGTCACTGACTGATAAGCATGTATGAGGTCACTGCGACCAGCGCAGTATCCTCGGCATCACCATGTGAGACATAAGCATCCTGGCAGGTTGTAACCACCTCCATGGCCACCTTTGGTGGCTTGTACTGGGTCATAGGCCACTCCTAAAAGATGATCTTTGTTTCTGAACTCCCAGAGAACTCAGCCTGTGCCAGTTTCGACGGCGCTGCCTTGCTACTCTCGGGTGGTTTCTGATCATTGTGTGCCTTAAAGTCAAGTATTGTGCTAGTCACGCCATCGAAGTGCTCAGCAGAGGGGACAATACGCATCCACTTCACGACGTTTACTTGCTATAAGCAGGTGCAGCACAAAGTTCAAGGTCTGATAAAAAAAAGTTCCACTCTCTCTAGCTGTAACCTGAGGCTTGCAACTTTTGCTTGGTGATGCCGTGTTGGGCAGATATTCCTACCTGGGTGGTTGCGAGATTCCGAAATGCCTCCGCACCTTCCCGTGATGGAGCTGGATGGAGTCCTGTGGAGATGCCGGCTAGGGTGGATGACATTTCTACCTCTTGAAATCCATTGTGTAGGAGGTCGTCATGTCCTATTCCCTGGAATGGGGTTTGTACACGGGCTTCGGAAGGCTCAATCTCACCACTGTTTTGATTATGATGTCGGCCCTGCCGCCACACACACGCACCACTTACACGGTCAGCCAAGTCGTGCACATGTGGTACACTTGCAGGGTCACAATGCACGGAGTGTAAGACACGTTCGCTTTGCAACACAATGTACCTTTAATGTACAGCAGCTTGCGTGGTACGTTTTTTATACAATGTCTGCTGCCAGGTAGAAACATAATTATTTTGCAAATATATCTGCATCAAAGGAAACGCATTCAATCATGAATTCTTAAAATCCCCAGAACACACGGATGCGCATTCTCGGCAGGAGTGTGCTTCACGCCTGTGTAGCGCTAGTTTTGACTTCTAGGGTGCACTTACAATGTGGAATTCACAATGCAACCTCTTTGACATGCATCCAGCAGCCTCCATAACGCCCTTCGTTCATAAATCTGGACTGAAGCAGATATGGCTCAGTGAGCTGATATAGCCATGATAAATTGATTAGATTCACCCATTTCCCTCTAGGACACCCTTTCTGTTATAAGCATAGCTGATTAAAAACTTGTTGGAAATAATATTACCGAGTGTTGTGAAAAGTAGGAGGGACACGTGGACAACAACAGGGCAGGGGAGCTGTGGGGCAATGGATCGACCACCAGGTTTAACACTGCATTCACGGACAATTTTGAGCCTGGTTTGTGGTCTCACAAAGTATTATCTGTATTTTGATTTCGTGTGCTGATCTTAAAGGTGCATTGAAAAATGTGATACTCCGACTGATGCTTCTGTTGTTTGTGGAGTGACTCATGCAGCCAGCTGTGGCTCTAGGGTTTGGTGTTACATGTTATTTATGTGGTTTATTGTAAAAAATTCGGTCACAGTTCTTATGATCACTGTTACATTGCATTTATGGCTTTATTTTGGTGATTTCTAAAAGTTTTTTGGTTTGGCCATGTTTTTGTTTATAGTACGGAGTTAGACTGATGGCCTTAATCAAAGTTTTCTTGTTGTTGTTTGACTTGCATCCCACTGGGATTTTTGCACACAGCGTTGGTGTACGGTGCTATTTCAGTAATATTTTGCTGTTTTTTTCTGGATTTTCTGTTTGCACATGCACAAAGTCACTCAATGATGTTTTCTTGTTCATGTTTGTTTTTTTGTTTGTTGCGGTTGCACCCGATTCAAGAGCCGAATGGCTCACAGGGCTATACCAAATAAATGAAACTATGAAACTCACAAGAGCAGTGGCGATGCCCTCCACTTTCTCCTCGACTTCGCATTGCAGCACGTGCTGGCGGAGTGGGCACGCAGGGTAGGTGCACCGGGAAGCGCTCCACGTACTTCGTGCCATCCATGGCCTCGTCTGCGTTGGAACCCAAGACGACGCACAGGGCTGGCACGAAGCGGTGGTGGCTGTGTGGTGCCACGACAACGAAGCCACTCCGTGGTGGCCGTGCCTGCGGCGGAGAAGCCACCCGGCTTCCATCACAGCGCTTCCCCCACCACCCCCCACATGAACACACACATGCACTCACGTAGGGCCTCGTGGGGGGGGGGGGGTCACCTGCCCCTGAGTTTTTACCCGAGGGTCCCCCTCGTGGGGGTGCTCCACGGTTTCTCAGGGCCAGGGAATTGGCAGACCCCCCCCCCCCCCAGGCCGAATGACACTGCGGCGCCGTGGCTTAACTTAAAATTGTATGGCCACGGCGAACTCACTGAGAACCGCAATGAGGATACACCCAAGGCACACGCGGATCAGCAGGCAGGAGGGGGGTGGGGCGGTACAAGAGGATGCCGTGCACGAGGTGTGCAGTGACCGCGAACTTGCACAAGTTGGGTAAACAATGAGGGGCGGGCGTCGGAGAGGGGAATAACCCGATTGGCCAAGAGCGGGAAATCCGAGGCTCCGGATTGGACGAGAGGCCAGCGGGTTCGCAACGCGTTAGCTTTGAAGTAGGGGGATATAAAGGGACGAAAATCAGAAGCAAGCTCTCTTTGTGTTCGGGGTCTTCATGAGTGAGGGACCAAGGAGTCATCGTCCCCTGCTACTCGAACGTCCGTGAGACGGGTCGCAGAGCAGCCAGGTCCAGTTCCCACCCAAAGCCACGCGCAGCCTCGCCTCTCCGCGACTACCTACACCTCGAGAGCGGATCGTAAGTACGGAGGTGAGAGGTAAGGCCGAGGGGGGAATATCCGTTAAGGAGAGTGAGTAGGGAGAGACAAGGCAAATTGGGTCCTAGACCGCTGGGAGATAGGTTAGACCTGCCCTGCTGACCCGCACTGACACGAGTAGATTAAACTTCATTAAACAGATAACAAATCGCCGGTAGACATTAAACCTTGTCATGTTGTTTTTGCGAGTACAGAGAGGGGTGCACGGTGTTGTGAGCCTGCTCGCTGTGGTTTCTTGCGTTTTCGCACGAGCGTATATTTTGCCCGTGCGTGCGCGCTCGCCGTGCACGTTAACTTGTGAGCCCGCGTGTTGTGGTGCCCCGTGTACTCTGCCCGCGTGGGTACTCTCGCCATGCACGTTAACTTGTGAGCCCGCGCGTTGTGGTGTCCCGTGTACTCTGCCCGCGTGGGTACTCTCGCCACTGCGCAGCTCGTGGTTGGCGTGTACGAGAAGGGCACAGCGGTGTATTTGCAAGGTGGTTAGTACAGCTATTTAAATCATGCTGCGAGGGGGGGAGAGTCGGAAAACGGTGGGTCACAGGAGACGGGGGGCAGTCTCCCCAACAGCTGCAGGTGACGCGCAGTTGTGAGACAAGTAGCAGAGACATCATCTTCAAGTTAAGTTTATTTGTCTAATCAGGTAATAATTGAACCTTATGGCGGGACCCCGGGGTTCCGAATGAACGGAAGTCAAAATCGTTATTAATGTATTTATTTTTGGCGACTCCGTCCCACCGCGCACAAACGCCGCGACCCACCTGGCGCGGATCATTCTGTTGTCGTGTCGTTCAAGCGCAGCAGCAAAGACGAATGCGCAGAAGAAACAAAACTTTTAAACTTTGATTAGCGCATCGTGTAGAGCTCGTCGAGAGGAATAGATTGACGTCGCAATGCAGTTAATGTGAGAGCCGGGGGCTTATGGGACCCCGGGGTCCCGCCATGAGGTTCATATGTCAAGGGATGATGCGTTTTTAACGAGTCGCCCCTGATCTCGTAAAAGGAACTCACTAAAACATCCTAATGCCGAAGCTGCCCGAGCCTCCGTGATGCTTTCCTGTATTATAAAAGCAATTTATAAGAATTGACAGACTACGTAGGTGCACTTTTATGTAAACACGAGAATTATCACAGTGGATCAAACGTACAAAAACGGGTTAGTGCTTATTTATTCGTTAGCGGCACTCATGCAGCCAGTGGTGTAAATTTCACATTCATTTGGACGAGGCCAGTTTTTTTTTTCCATAACACAAACGACTGCAATTATTTTGCAGTGATGTCTTTTGGGCGATGACCGCGATTTGGGTAATGATTGACTTATCAAACCCGCACCCGGGTTTGAACTCGCGGTCTGTCACTTGCGAGTAAAGTGCCTTAACCCCCCCCCCCCCCCCCAGCGCCAGTCGTCTGATGATAGGACAAGCAGACCACTCACCCGCAAGTGTAGACGTCGCAGATACTACAAGCCCATTGTTGTTAACTTGCTCACGCATTGTCACTCTTGCCCTCGAAGTAACTTCTCAAGATCACCTCTGCTTAGATGGCTTTGGACGCAGCTTTGGTACACGGGACTGTTTCCGCATGCAAGCGAAATTCCATTCATAAAATGCCCATATCTGTCTCTCTGTAGCGCAAAATTTGACTTCTCAAGTGGTAATTATTTTATCATCCCCTGGCCATATGATGGACCGAGTCAACTTACAACCAAATTGTAACTTTCTGAATAGGTATTCATTCTCGAAGCACTGTCATTTGGAATATCATAGTATTAATTTAAAGGGCCACAAATAAGCATGAGTACACATTTTTCTATACATATGGATACCTAACCTCATCTGGCTCTTTTTCATGTACACTCAGACTAAAATGAGTACAGTGCAAATGATTGCAATGATTGAACGTGGATCGGGACTCGAGGGTAACCATGCAAGCCGTAATTATTAACACGCGGCTATGCAATTGTCACGATTTGATTTGAGTATCAATGCTTATTTTAACATTGTTATGCATTGTACAATTTGTAGTGGCTGCGACGGGTCACGAGAAAATAGTAAAACACGAATAAAAAGAATAAATTCATATGCGCAGGATCCTGCCACGGGTTGTTTGACCGACTCCTTTTGAAGAAGCATATTGCTTTCTGTGGAAAGAAAAACCGGAGCTGGATAGCACTCACCACGTGTGCCAGGGGCTAACACTCAAAAGGTTCGCAAATATAGGTTCATCAACCCATCTTGTTTTTGGTCATCTCACAGCCCAGACAGATTTGCGAGCTTCACAAATCTGCATGATCATCATTAACGCTGTCTCACACAGAAACATATACAGTGCATTAGGTGTGCAATAATGAATTGACTCATCGATCAAAATAAATTCTCTAAGCCCACATTACAGGCATCGAATCACATGTGCACACCAACCACGCTGCAAAATGTACACGTGTCTCCGCATGGCAAATACTACAACAACCGCACGCCATCTTCACTAATAACGAACGAGCGCCGGAAATGGGTGTCGCCCGGAGCCCGGTCGAGCTCCATGGAGAAAGTCTTCGAAGTCACTGCCCCCGGGACACCGTCGTCACGGCCGAACACAAAGCGCAGTGTCACCAACGCATGCCAGGCCCTGCCGAGGAGAGGGCGAGGCCCTGCACCACGTGACGCCTGCTGCCGCTGTGGTCTGAACAGCTGTTGTGTGGTGGCGATGAGCACCAGGCCCTGCTGGCGTGCCATGCGGCTGAGCACCTCACAGCAGCGCTCCGTCACACTGGTGCTGCCCGGACAAGGTTGGTCCATCCAATAGAATGCTGAGAGCCCATCGAGCACCAGCAATCCCACATGCGGGCGGTTCGAGCCCAAAAGTGGAGGCAATGCCACCTGTTCCTCTAGTGCCAGCAGTGTCAGTTCAAGCTGTGAGACAGTGTGGCACGTGGCTATAGACAGACAGCTGAGGCATCCCCGTAGCGCCAGCTCTGCCGCAGCCTCATCATCATCGTCTTCCGTTATCAAATCTCCGTCACCATCAACATTGCATTTATTTTCACAAACTACTCTGTTGCCACCGAGGAGGCATTGTCTGTCACCAGTGGGGCCCCCAGGGCCACTAGCACTACCTCTAACACAGTTCCCACTACCACCATGGCCTCCCATACCACAGTCACTGCCATCAATATGGCCTCCACGGCCACCAACATTCCCACAGCCACTGGCACAGTTGCCACCTGTTTCTACAATTCCATCTGCACAGCCATCACTACCACCCACGCTGGCACCAATGTGGCTATTGGCATGGTCGCCAGCTTGCCCTGGGCGTTGCTTGGCAGCACGAATTCGGCGTTCCAGCATTCCGACGAGGCGCAGGAGGTCGAAGTGTAGGTCGGCGTCGAGCAGGATGGCACGCATCCCCAATCCCCCCGCCTCCACGGGCAGCACACAACTCGCCAGCAAGCGGTACACCACCTCCGTCTTGCCACTGCCCTCTGGACCATGCAGCTCAATCACGTCTCCTGCGAGAGACCCGGGAAACCGAGGTCAAGCATTCAAGGGAGTGGAAAGATGATGGGAAGCAATGCAATTATAGATCAATGAGATGGGAATCATGGGGGTTTGGTGCAGTGAAGACTAGTCAGAGTCGCAGTTGAGTATCACAGCGTTAGGGTGTCATAATGTGGAGATTCACAGGGGTCATCAGATGTGAACGGGGGTGGGTCCAGTGACTGGGGATCAGTGATCAAGAGGACATTTGCAGCATCAGGTGGGAAGTCACAAGAGGCCACGTGTAACAGAGATTAGGAGAACACGAGCTTTGGAGCTCCTAAAGTCTAATAATTTTGTGATCATAGTCATGGGTGATCATGAGGTCAAGATTGAACGAGCTAAATACTCGCAGTTTATATTTAAGGTGGACTGGTCAGAGTAGTATTGCTCAGCTTTAACAAGATCTCCTTAATAAAAAGTACCGTCCCAAACTGTAACAACCAGTCTTCGAGACAGCAATTTTAAAATCCAATTTCCTGCTGCCGAGTTACAGGGGGATTCTGAACCGTCATTCCTGGATGCATACTTCAAGACATGGATCCTGAAATCCAGCCTGTCATCATTAAAAACTAGTTTTGTGTCCTCAGGACTGAAATGTGATGGTGCCAGAGTTCCAAGGTCACTCACCGGGCCGTGGCAATCCTACAGGGAAAAGCTCCGTGTCGAGACTGCTCAAGTTCATCCTTCCCTGCAGTGGCAGAAGTAGCATGAGAAGGGATTTCAGTGTTGCATTTAACTTGGTTATTGTCGAAAAAATATTTTTCTATTTTTAACCTTCGATTTAAAGCTTTCGTGACTGCAAGGATTCATCTTCTTTGGTTCTTTCGGTAAAGTCACGTAGATTGAGAATAAAATAATAAATTGATAAAATAACACAATAATATTCTCACGACGTTTCAGCCACAACACAAGCGGCCTTCATCACTCCAGCGCTGTCCTCCACAGTCTCGTCCCCTTCACCTGATGAAGGCCGCTTGTGTTGTGGCCGAAACGTCGTGAGAATATTATTGTTATTTTATTTGATCAATTTATTATTTTGAAGCTGTTAATTGGGTTACTGTAGTTAGACAGCAGTAGTTAATAAAACATGTCAAGAAATAGATGTGGGCTACACAACTGGAGCACAGTGGGCTGTAAACCTACACAAATTACATATTTGCCGTGCTGATGAGAGTGGTTTTCCTCGTGCACATGCCGGATTTTTACAGTTGGGAGAATATAATAAAATCGAATATGGAACAGAAAATGTTAAGGACTAACAATGACAAAGCAATTTTAATAGACGTCACTCACCTGCAAACGCAGTAGCGTTTTCGATTTAATATGGTGCTTTAAAGTAACGTTAAAGTCTTAGCTTTCTCATTAACCAAATTACAAACTCATATTGGGATCGCGCACAACACAACCCATAGAACAGGGGAACCTGCTCCTATATTAAGGCCGAATAAGCCTCTCTCAACACTTTATACGGGCCACGCAATAACACACACACAGTCACTTCTGTTACTGCACGAGGAGGCACTTCAGGATGAGAGGCAGACCCAGCAGGTGCCATGGACTGGCTGACTGGTAGATGACCGATAGATGCACCCAGCCGTACCCCCACCCCCCCCCACTAACTGTGCCAACTTTGTGTTTTAGCCGCCAACGCGCTCCGCTAGTTGTTGTGAGCGTCGCTCCTATCCATCCTCATTACACACACAACACTCAATAACACGCCCTACACACCCTACAACACACACACACAACACTTAACACACACACATTCACAAACACAACACACCACTGAAGACACGCCGCAGCTTGTGCCAGGATGGGTGCACACCACCACCAACACGCGCGCGCTGTAAGCGGCAGCCTCGTTTCCCTACAATGCATAAGCATAGGGGGGCGGGGCGGGCGCGAGGGGCGCGGCAGTTCTATTGGTCGACGCCGGCTCACGTGACGGGCGCGCCTAAAGCGTGCTGGGGATTTCAGTGCGCGTTTCTCAGGGTTCCGCCGCTGCGGGGTGCTTGAGTTAGTGAGCGAGTTGTTGAGTTAGTGAGCGAGTTATTGAGTTAGTGAGCGGCGCTGAGACGTTTAACAGCGGACGAAGTTCAACTTGGGCAGGCGCGATCGCCCTCCCCCCCTCTCACCAGAGCGACCGTGAAGGCATTCGACGGGCGGGCAGTGCTCGGAACGTCGGCGTCCGCGGTCATGTCGAGTGAGAACTTTCCTGTGGCAAAAGGTGTCTGTGGAGCGTTGTGTTTGATGAGCGTGAGTGGGGCGTGTGTCCAGTGGTGTGTGTGGTGTGTCCAGTGGTGTGTGTGGTGTGTCCATTAGTGTGTGGTGTGTCCATTAGTGTGTGGTGTGTCTAGTGGTGTGTGGTGTCCTGTGGTGTGTCTAGTGGTGTGTGGTGTCCTGTGGTGTGTGGTGTCCTGTGGTGTGTCTAGTGGTGTGTGGTGTCTTGTGGTGTGTCTAGTGGTGTCCTGTGGTGTGTCTAGTGGTGTGTGGTGTCCAGTGGTGTGTGGTGTGTATAGTGGTGTGTGGTGTCCTGTGGTGTGTGGTGTGTCTAGTGGTGTCCAGTGGTGTGTCTAGTGGTGTCCAGTGGTGTGTGGTGTGTCAAGTGGTGTGTGGTGTCCAGTGGAGTGTGGTGTGTCTAGTGATGTGTGGTGTCCTGTGGTGTCTAGTGGTGTGTGGTGTGTCAAGTGGTGTGTGGTGTCCAGTGGTGTGTGGTGTGTCTAGTGGTGTGTGGTGTCCAGTGGTGTGTGGTGTGTCTAGTGGTGTGTGGTGTCCAGTGGTGTGTGGTGTGTCAAGTGGTGTGTGGTGTCCAGTGGTGTGTCCAGGGGCGTGCGGTCAGGGGAGGCAGAGCCTCACCTGTCATGCTCCAATTAAAATAGCTGTTACGAAAAGAAAAATAATAATCAAATAAAATAAAGATTAACATTTTTCCACTGATCTGTGTTATAAATGTCATTTCTGTACGATTCCAATCATTTTTATAGTCAAAATCGCCAAATTTGCGGAGCTCCGCTACAAATACAGGAAGAGACGAGAGGTGAGGCAGCGACAAGCTCAGCCTCCCCTCTGATTGCGCAACCCCTCAGTAACTGGATGGAGCGCGGGCAATAAGCGCGTGCCTGTTACTATCTCTCTGTGTGTCACCAATGTAATATTTGTAGACCCCTTCAATTCATGTCCTCGCCTTCAATACTCCAGGTAACTTATTTCACGTATGTGTATAAAGATATTTAGGCTCGCTGGCCTCGTCCTGAAACTGCAATGAAAAAGCACCAGGGGAGGCAGCTATCACATCTGCCTCACTGAGGGGGACGTGTCTAACACGCCCCCTCAGTGAGGCCACGCCCCCTCAGTGAGGCCACGCCCCCCTCAGTGAGTGAATTTGGCTCTGACACCAGCCAGTGCCTCCCCACCACACACCGCACGTGAGCACGTCAATGGTGTGTGGTGTGTTCAGTGGTGTTGTCCAGTGGTGTTTTCCATTAGTGTGTGGTGTGTCTAGTGGGGTGTCCGTGTGTTGAATAGGGAAGAGCGACGCTCACAACAACGAGCGGAGCGCTGGGCTCATAAAACGCAGCAAGTCTGGCACAGTGGGGAGCACAGATGGTGCATCTGCCAGTGATGTGTCAGTCAAGTCAACCCATGCATGGTACATGGGTCTGTATCGTGACCTGCCAGCAGCGAGCCTTCGACGTTTACCAAAAAGTGCACCTAGTCTGGCACAAGCGCCGTGATGACGTGACTGCTATTTAGTGGCGAACGGCGGTTGATGTAGGGTGTGTATTGAGTGTGTGATGTGTAGAGTGCATGCTGTTTGTAAGGCTTGTATCGTGTATTTTGAAAATACTGTAATGTAACGTGTGTAAGGTGTTTTTCGAGTGTATTTGGTGCATTGAGTTTTGTCATGGTAACACATGGTGTACATATAGTGTGTAGGGTGCTTACGGTTTGAGAGTTGATAAGTGTAGGGTGGTTATTCGGTCTGTTAATCGTTTATACTGTACTTTAAATCTCAGAAAAATGAAGAAAACATTAACTTGTCAAAAATGTGCAAGCTCTAGCGCCACCTAGAGCACGTGCTTTGCAGTGCACGCATCAGTGGCCGCGTGTTTTTTACCTGTTGTGTAAGCTCAGTGGAGCCCTACGTCTCCATAGCTGTCTCTTGCGTTCTTTCTGCCTTTTCGACCGGCTTAATTTAGCTCCATTTGTGGAGTGCATTGTAGTGTGTCAAATGAGTTGTGTTTAGAGTGCGGGCGGGTTATCTAGATGCCCCACTTAAATAACAGTCAAGGCCACTGATCACCCATTTTCATTCGACTATATCAGGGGTCGGCAACCAACATAACCATAAGAGCTATTATTTTCGAATTCCGTCCAATATTTCAACGGCCGCAATGCATGTGAATATGAGACGATGGTCCTTAATAAATAACGTCCGGAAGCAGTCCTTAAAGAGCCGCACGCGGCTCTGGAGTGGCAGGTTGCCGACCCCTGGACTATATTGAGAAGGGCAGTCTTCAGTGCTTGGGCATCTCTGTTGTCAGCAACCCATAGCATATCACTCACTGTTCATGTTTTCATCATAGCTGCAATCTGATACATCAAAGAGATCCAGGTATCACGCTGGTCAGGTACTTGTGTGATGGGGCTGCTAGCAAATATAATAACTCGAAAGTTTTCAGAATCTTCTTCATCACCGTCAGAACTGGCTTGTCAGCAGTGCCATGTGCTGGTTCACCACTTCAAACCATATACTTCTAGGCCTGCCTTTCAGATTACACCCTGTCCCATGTTCATCACCAAAGTAGTTTTCCTTATGATATCACCTAGCCATCGTAATCGACTGTCAGGGTGTCCGATGTGGGCACCACTCTTGCCTTCTTACTTTTCGTCAAAAACAGACATCCTGTACTCAGCATATCCATGTGCGCTGTTGACAGCGTGACATGCCGTGCTGTGTTTAGGATTCCGCCTGGCACTCCTGCAGATGCTAGTTTCACGTCACAAGCAGGAGAACTTGGCACATGCTCGTGAGCTGGTATCGCGCGCAGCGCAGAATGGTGCACAGCTCGTCTCACTCCCGGTATCACGTGTGCCACATCACACCCCGCACCACACTGCACTCGCCTACATCTCCACGTGCCACCACCCCACAATGCAAGCCGTGTATAACATATGAGGGTGGCCCTACACCACGTCGACTGTAACGGGAAAACATAACTCACTGGCCCACTTTGACGTGTATCCCCCACGCAGCTTCCTTCAAGTCGTATAGACTGTTGGGACCAGTTCAGGACTGCTGGAACCGGTGGGGTAGACTGCTGGGACCAGATCAATGACCATTTTAAGGTTTCACATACTCTTTCGCAGTGTAATGTCATAGTTAAAGAAGTACACGCGCAATGTGGTGTCTTCACTTAGAGTGGACGTTTGCCAAGGAGGAATACTCTACTTTGGAAAAACATCTGGAGCAAGTTGGAACAATCTAAGATGATATTCCATCAAGGCAGGATGTGATTATAGGTATGACCCCTTGCGACCCCCGCGTGGTGCATGCAGGAATGTTTCAACTGCCCGTACGGGACGCAGTATTTTGGCGAGTATGCGGAGACGGTTCCCGGAGAAACGAGCACCACGATTGCGGCACTGGCCGCCGAGCACCGCATCACCATCATCGGAGGTGAGCGTCTTACCAGTGTCTCTCGATTATTTTCTATCAGTCAACACATGGCAGCTGTTAATGAGACTGGATGAAGTTCTTCTACTCTTTCCTATCCCTGGTCATGAGAATTGCTTCCTGTAAAAAAACTTTTCTGACTGTTAAGGCTTCTGCTTTGATGCCATAATTCCACCACTTGTATGGACAGCCTCTACTGTTTGTCCTTCCAGATGGCAGTACAAGGAGATCGATGGTAATATGTTTGCCACTAATCGATATAAACCTGGTCCACATTTTTGTTGTCAGTAGATGTGTGTTCACAAAGCCATCTGCTAAAACAGCACCTCCTGGCCACCTCACTGCCCAACCCTTGCCTCCAATGTTATGATTATAGGCATACAACACACAATGCACGACTGCACATGTCATATTTCTCATCCTTGGAAATATTTAACAAAGTTTTTGCAGCTTACTCTTTGGTTCTGTTGGGTAAAGTCAGCTTATTATTCACTGGAAAAGGCTGCAAAAAGATTTCAGCTTTTGTATGTATGTTGAACTTTAACAACATAAAAGCTACAAAAGATGGTAGATTTGATATCTCCACATATTGCTGTTGTGTGTGTGGTCACATGTTGTCGAGTGAAGATGCATTTTGCTCAACGTCGCATTCTGTTTTGTTTCCAGGGTCAATCCCAGAGCGGTCAGGGGATCGTCTGTTTAACACCAGCCTCGTGTTTGGACCGGATGGCAAGCTGTGTGGGAAATTCCGCAAGGCACGCAAACATGCATGCAGTACTTCAATTGGGATTATACATTGCAGTCATTGCCCCCGACTGTGAAAACTTTACAGAACACCCCTGAAAATGAGATACAGTGAATCCTTTTCTGGGCAAACAAACGTAATCATCATAATTTAAGAAAGTTACACGTCGTAATGATGGTGGCGATTGATGTTTTAAAAAATTCCTTTCGATGCTGATGTTGGCTTTTATTATGATGGAAATTCTGTTGTAGGTGTTGATACATGTAATTTTGTCATATTTGTAGTGGCACAATGGTTAGTTCACTGCGGTGCAAAGCGGGCCACTTGGATTCACTCCCTGACAGTTGAACCAGTCCTGTGCACCCTCTTCACCAACCCATATGAACTTGCGTGGTAAAGCATGGTTGAACAACCTCCAGAATGCTGGTCATAATTCTACTGATTGTCTTCTGCAGATGCATCTCTTTGATATTGACATTCCGGGAAAAATCACTTTCAAGGAGTCGGAAACGCTGAGCCCTGGAGAGGAACTGACAGACTTCACCACTCGTAAATCTTGCAACATTGCACCGTTCAACACACAAACATCACTTGATACACCAACATCTCACCGCACAACACTGTACCTTCACAGCCTTGTTTATGGCATGGAGTTCCGTATGTGCAGTATGACATTGCTTTAGGTGATGTGGTTTTGCGTGTAATTTGTGTGAAGTATGTTGTGACCACCATGTATAAAACAGGCATTAATGGCCACTGCGAGGTTAACTCATCCATTGTTACAAAGTATGTCTATTCACCCAAGTCTATGCTCCCCACTGTCATCAACCAGCACTTACCAGCGTGGTGAAGTATGATCAATAACTTGACGATATGCATGGTGTGGGGAGGCCTTCATCCAGCAGTGGATTGAAATGAGAGCTGTACATATACCATGTTGTGGTAATGGGATTGCATGCAGTGTTGTTATTCGGTTAGGTAGCACTGTGGCTGTAACGCTGCCACATTGCCCAGATGTGTGGTCTTTTTCATTCACTGTATCTTATTGTGTCCTGTACAGCAATGTAGTAAAGTCAGTAGTGCTTGTTATATCAAGACATTGGCCCCTGCAATAGATATATACAGGAGATGGCAGTGTAGCAACAAAATCCTTTTTTGGACTGTACTAAACTTTACTTCCATGTCGATTCACCCCACCTTTACTAACCCATGCTGACCAGTGTAGTATGGTCATATAACTCTACTACCTGCATGGTGCGGAGGAAGCCCTCATACAGCAGTGGACTGACAAACAAATGGCTGTCTACATGTTATTGGCTCAGGGCTACAACGACGTAATCAGTATTACCACTGCGCTGAGCAGGGAAACGCTTTGACTTGCGGTATTGGCGTGTGGTGTTGTTGATGTGTTTTGGTGTACAGTAGTCTTATGTTTAGTGGTATTTTTCTGCCGTGTTGTATGTGCTATTCTGCGGTGTATTGTTTGGTATTATATGTGGTGTGCTGTTTTACGTTGCTTGTGGTGTGGTCTCCGTTGTGTTGTTGTCATGAAGCAGGCCAATATGTACGTATACATACTATAATCATCCAGGAATGTCCTTCACGCTCGTGACGTCACTCCACATCGACCAGCCCCCCTCATTAATATTCATGAGCAGGTGACGTCCTCCAAATGGACACCCCCCCACCCCTCATTGATAATCATGAGCGGGTGACATCACTCAATATGGAGTACTCCCCCCCCCCCTCACTATTAATCATGCGCAAGTGACGTCACTCCACATCGAACAGCCCCCCTCAATAATCCTGATAAGGTGACGTCCTCCAAATGGACACCGCCCCCCTCATTCATAATAATTAGCAGCTGACGTCACTCCACATGGGGGGCCGAGGCGCCTCCTCCCCACTCGGCGTCAACTTACAACCCTCACTACAAAGGCAGAACCCTCACGTCATGCGATCTCCATAACGCTGTTGAGACATCAAGGTTAAAAGGACTTCATGATGAACAAGGGATTATAACCTTAAAATGAAATAGGTCTATGTCACCGCGCCCTTACAAATTGCACGCGAATGGATGCAATGAATATCACGTCGCGGTCTGCTTTTCGCTTGCAAGTTTCAGATTGACTGCAATACACCCGTCCTTGGACGGTCAAAAGACTAGTGTATATTTGTTTAACTTATATCGGAGGTACGCTGGCCTGCCTTATGGGAATGTGGAATTTCCGTCAATGCCTTGGGGTCACCAACAGTGATGTGCTGCGTTGTGCTGTGGCGTGTGTGCATGCGTAGCGTTCTGCAAGGTCGGGATTGCCATTTGCTACGACCTTCGGTTCCCAGAGCTCACGCGTCTCTATGCTGACCGGGGTGAGTGGTGCCGTGTGTGCAGTGGGAGCCATTCCATTTGTGTGCCCAATGGAAACAGCTGTACTATTCATGCACTTAGCTCCCTGGACTTTAATGAAGTCTGTCATTGTGTAAGTACATATTTAGATCATTGGTTTATGGATTAGCTTGTTTCTCATCGCAGATGCTGTTCAGTGAGTAATGTTCCATGTGCATTTAGACTGAATGACTCCCAACAATCATCACCAATGTTTTAATGTGAATATGTTACCAGCATGTACATTGTAAAGTAACCGTACAGGCCGGCAGTTTGTAAGTGCAAACAAGTGTTGACTTGCATGTGTAAAGACTGCCCCCTGCTTGTGTTTGGGTCAGAATGTTGTAAGAGTTAATTGTGTCTGTGTGTTTAGGCTGTCACCTACTCGTGTGCCCTGGAGCATTCAACATGACTACAGGGCCTGTCCACTGGGAGCTCTTGCAGCGTGCTCGGTGCGTTCAGAATTTATTTGTGCTAGGGATGGACAATTGCACCAAGCCACACCAGATATGGGCTCCCAGTAATCCACCCCTGCAAGTGGCAGTGTTGTGTGTGTGTGGTGTGAATTTTATGGTGCTAACGTGTGTGCCAGAGGCATTGCTATATAGTGCAGTATGGTAGGGTGTGGTAGCACTCTGTGGTAGTGGTGTTGCATTATTGCTGTGTTTTGTGGTTACGGTGTTTGGTCTAGTGTATATTTAAGTGTCCCTAGGACGTGTATGCAATGAATGCCATGTTATATAAGGTTTGCTTGGTGTTGCCATGGTGTGGTATAAGTTATGGTGCAGTGTATGGTGTGCTTGCATTGTGGTCTAGGATGTGATGGTTGTGCGGAATGGCGTGGTAATTGTGTGTTTTGCCATGTCCAGTGGTAACTGTGGTGTCATGTGTAGCTGTGTTGTATCACTACTCACAGTGTGTATTTTATGGGGTCTTAATTGCATGGTGTCTGCTGTATTATGTAGTGCTGGAGTTGTGTACATGTTTTTTATTGTGTAGTGATGGTGTTTGTGTGTGTTATTGTGTCGTTATGGTGTGTTATATGTTGTACAGGGCAGTTGATAATCAGATGTTTGTGGCCACGGTGTCTCCGGCAAGAGATGAAACAGCGTCGTACGTGGCCTGGGGACACAGCACCGTATCCTCACCCTGGTAACCCCTCCACACCACGCGTTACTCCACACTCTGCCACTCCGCACCATGCATTTTATGATGTGTATGGCAATGCGGTTGGTATGTTGTCATTTGTTTTTTTCCCTCATGCATCTAGATTATTTAGATTATTTTGCTGCTATAAATTTCTACATGATAAGCCTGAGCTATCATTTGTGACCAGGTCGCTTCTGAAAAAGAAGCTAATGGCTCAGTGGGCCTTGCTTGGTCGGACAGAAGTGGTTTAGTTTTGTTTGTATATAGATCTGGGTGGTTTTATTGCCTTACCTGTGCTCAGCACTCCTATCGTTTTTGTATTTGTTGTAACAAATTCTGACATACCGCTACTGGACATCTGTGGAAAATAGCTTTATAGCTCATCGGATTCCTCCAGTATAAATAAATATTCTGATTTGTATAGTGCTGTAGTTGGCATGGTTTGGTGTGGTTGGTTTGGTGCAGATGGTGTGGTACGCTGTGTCCTAGTTTGGTTTGATGTATTTCCTGTGTGATTGTGCGGATTGTGCAGGGGTGACGTTGTTGCTAAAGCTGGACATGGTGAAGAAATTGTGTATGCTGATATTGGTAAGTATCTCATTTTCACCTAAAATGCATAACATCACATACCACAATTCAGGTCATAAAAAAACAGCCTTTGCATCACTATGTCACATCATACAACACATCTCCACATCTCGGACTACTTACATTGTGTTTAACAACCCTACCCTCACTTCATATATACAACTTTCCCCTCTTATTAAGTGCAGCTCAGATACACAAGCAATAGTTGCTTTGCGAGTGTAATTGAGTTGAAGGTGGCATGCGTGTGCGTTGTTGTGTGTTTGTATGTGTCTTGTTTAGATTTAAACAGAGTGGAAGAGGTGAGACGTCAGATTCCGGTGCGGATTCAGAGGCGCTGTGAGCTGTACCACTCGCTGGCAGCAGCAAAACCACAATAACCAACCACAGCTAACAAACAAACCATCAACTCCCACAAGTGACAATTCCACCCCTCTCCTTTAACCGCACTTAATCCACCCTCAACCATACACCTCCACCAGATACACCACCAAACACAACATATAACTACACTTAACCATAAACTGCACTGCCACATAAACTAGGCACACAGCAATAAATTAATTGATTCATTACGAAAAATGTATTCTCTCCCAACACTCGCATTGATTGCTGTGTGATAAGATTTTTTTCTTCCGATTGATACATGCCGTGCATAATTTGTTCACATAACTCCTGCAGCCACAAGAGCTGCTACATGCACCACACTTAAAATTAAAAAGAATCGACTGTTGCATCGAATTGCATCCCCACAATTGTTTATGTATCGAATCTTGAGGGGGGTGAATTGTTGCAGGCCTATTATCGATTGAGATGAAGCACTTTATAATAATGGCATTGCTGCGATGGTCTGGTTGATCATTGAAGGGGAGCAGAATAAAATTTGCATCGACCTTAAAAATCCGTTTTCACAGATCTGTCTCCTTTACTCGGCATCGCACAACCACAGCAGCCTGCGGTGCTCTCGGGCTGAATGTGTACTCGTGTGTGCTATTTTAACTTGACGATCGAACCCCACACGTCCCCGCCACGCGTTAACAATGTTATATGTGTAACCCCAATATAAGAGCATTTTATAGCAATCTTTTCCATTGGTGGCCCTGAGCCAGAGGTGAAATTCCTACCGTCCCTCGGCAATTATTGTTGAAGCTGATCACAGTGTGGTATTAATGTTATTGATCTTAGGAGGGATGAACTGTTTTCACCTACGTGACTTTACCCAATAGAACCAAAGAGTATGGATCCTAGCAGTCACGAAAGCTTTAAATCTAGAAATGATGAACTGAGTTGATCCCTGACTGGGAATAGAAACCATGGCCCTGTAAGTTGGTTGCAAAGAAGCAGTGGGGCCGTTTAGAGTACAGGACACAGTCGTACAACAAGACAAAGACCCCCCGTTATAGCCTTAACAGACTGTAGGGGCAAGTGCTGTTAGTGAACACCTATGAAGGCCGGCATGGCACACGAGGGGGTGGGGTGGCCAGCACCACGCCCGGCCGCCTTTGTCCTCCCTAGCGGCGATGTTTTACGCACCGCACAAGGTACTCATTTTAGGCTGAGTCGACCTAGGGGAATACCCAATGATCGGTTCAGATAATCGTCACCACCGGCGTTGGTAGCCGTGAGCTCGCCGCTACACCGCCGCGCATGAGGCAAGATGCCCCGGGGTGGCTGTCGAAAATTTGTTTCCCCTGCTAACGTGAAAGAAGATTTCCATTGCCCTCTACGACAGATGCCGGTTAATCGAGTATCCTGGGTGGCACACCTGTCAACCCATACGGTTTAACCCGTATTCTTGTACTGGCAAATGTAAGTTTTTCGGTCCATACGGCGTATAGCCATTTAAATACAGGCACCAAAAAATATTTTTGGTCTATTTCTTTGTGTTTCTCCCTTGTGATGAGACTGTCGGATAAACGTTGAGATTTATAAGGGCACGGGATGACCAATAAGATCTGAACTGGTCTGTAATAAGGTAGGCACTGATAAGGGATTGACAGGTGTGAGATGGTAAAGTGCCGGATAACAGAGCTTTTGCTGTAGTATGGTTGTACAAAATGCAAACATTGTCGCGTCCAATTGCAACACTACTCGACCAGGTGAACAAACATCAATGCTGCTCAGCTTCATGGAAAGAACCCGCAATATCTTACAACGCACCCGGACGTGAATATACACGTGTTTGTCAAAGTCTCAACCACTGGTAAAGAATTATAATTCACAACAACAGTTGGAGCTAAAACTTCGCACGGTTACACTTGGCACTGGCGGTCCGCGTCGTATTGAGATTTCACAAGTGTTATTACACTTATTCTTAGCCTTCAACGTGACTTTACCGAAAGAGCTAAGAATATGAATTACTGCAGTCACGAAAGCTTTAAATCAAACCCTAATGGCTTGCTCTGTCATTCACGGTCATCTGCCGACCGCAAGTTGGGACCCTTTGCTTCTTGCCATTTACCAATTTAACCAAAATATAAATTCTTATGCTCACGATGTACATGCATTGACTCATGCGTTAAATAATTGATATTGCATAACTTATGCAATGTATTGGCAAATGTTACGTGTGGGCTAATGAACGAGACAGAACAAACAGTACACAACGTCGCATTCCCGACTCGCTGAGGACTTTTACAGGTGGATATGTGAAGAGGTCGGATATGTGAATATCTGTGGACCTTGACAATTATACGACCATGCACAAATAGTTTTGCTGGAGAATTTTTTTTGCGCAAACTGCTTTATACATGGGGAAACGTTTAACTACTCGCCTTTTGCCCGTCCAAGGACGGGTGTATTGCAGTAAATCTGAAATTTGCAAGCGAAAAGCAGACCGCGACGTGATATCCATTTGTAAGGGCGTGGTGACACAGACTTATTTCATTGAAAGGTTATAATCTCTTGTTCATTATGACGTCCTTTTTACTTTGATGTCTCAACAACAGCGTTACGGAGATCACGTGACGTGAGGGTTCTGCCTTTGTAGTGAGGGTTGTGAGTTGACGCCGAGGAGGGGGGAGGAGGCGCCTCGCCCCGCCCCCCATGTGGAGTGACGTCACCCGCTAAATATTATTAATGGTGGGGGTGTCCATTTGGACGACGTCACCTGTTCATCATTATTAATGAGGGGGGCTGTTCAATGTGGAGTGACGTCACCTACTCATTATTAATGAGGGGGGGTTCTCCATGCGGAGTGACATTATTAATTTATTAATAAGGGGCGGGTCCATGTGGAGGACGTTATTAATGAGCGGGGCTGGTCGACGTGGCGTCACGTCACGCGCGTTACACACTGACATTCTTGGGTAAATATCGTAGTAAATGCTGAAGAAGCAAATGTACTAGAAAATGAGTCACACCGTGCACAAATACCTCATTGGGTGTGGGCGGTGCATTTATCAGGGTGGATATGCAATGGTCGGATATGCGACTGTATATAAGATAGACAATACCAACAAGATGGAAAACGATTATTAAAAAAATTATAATTTAATCGTGACCCCCAAATTGTGACAATTCATTGAGTCGTTGCACGTCTCAGACCTGCCCTATTAGTACTTGCGACGTAGTTCGTGTGTATCCCATAATGCTTGGCAACCCACATTTATCGTGATGAAAATCTTCCGCTGTGACCATTTGAATAATCATTTCTTTTAGGCATATCTCAATTTTATTTGTTAAAACCTCAAGCAGCATGAACGAGATTAATTGTTGAACATGTTTTATGCAACCAGCCACTCGTCTGTACACCTTATGCTAACAGATGTGTTCAACCAGTCGATGTCAGCTCATGTATGTATGTTGTTGAACTTCTTTCGCATCACACATAACCAACCATGCTATTCCGAGGTGCGGGGGAAGGACAACAAACTAAACACAAAAAGTATTTCTATAGAAATTAATTTTCAATTAAGACTTGGCTCCGTAGGAAAAGGAAACGTACAGCAGAAAGACGGCCACCGCGTTTAATTAGCAGCGGGTGCTACGTCGACGTTACAAGTGTCGGTTCTACTTGAATGCTAAGGCATCAACTAGTTCTATTGCAGTACACTCACATTATTTGTAACATCGTTTACCAATGCCCATGTGCCATGCCGCACACAGAACATCAGTTTTGCTGTTCAATGCACAATATTCTTGTCTCGGTGAGTTGATTTCAAAGATTAGTGTCACTGTTCTATTTTACTGATGCATTGTCTTACATTTTATCGTAGAGCGGTAGTACTTCTTCTTCGTAACAGAATCATAATAGTATTTTATTGTGGAACGTACTAATTTGTTTTATTTATTTCTGAGTAGATCGCAATTGTCCTTGAAAATTATGACACTTTATTCATTACCAAGTTGGTTATACCATACAAGCTTTAAAGAAACTACTTTATTCAGGTCTCAAGATAGGGTATTAGGTGCATTAAAGCACTCATAGAAAAGATTTGCCTTGACCCAAAATCATCATTTAATCGTCTATATCGTGCTTTGCATAGATTAAGACTTGCCCAAAACCGAATGCACGTCAAAATAAGTGTTTATTTACTAAATGAAGTCCCATTGAGTCTCACTTTTTAAGAGGCTTGGCCAATTCCTTATCAAGTATTGTCATGTGTGGGAGGAAACCGAACAATCCTGGAGAACACACAACAAATCAACAGATAGGTCAACATCTTACTTGCTACTCTGCCATATACTGGACACCTTATAGCCCTGCAGTTGAGTGTCGTACAATTGATCCACCAACTCTGCTGGATTCTCATTTCCATCGCTGGGAAACGTTCATGCTGCCTTGCGTGAACAGTGTGCATGTAAAGTGCCAGAGCTGAATGGAAACACGGCCTACGCCGCTATCTAGTCCCAGCTACCTATACAGTGAAATGTTTCACACCACCAGATTTACATTTTTTCATGAAATATATTTTAATTACAGAAGGATTTATTTTTATTGTTATTATATCATATCGTGTTCTAACATATATGATGGCATTAGTTTCTACAGCTATAAGGTTTTATATATATTAATGTGCATATGTGCATGTCTCTGCGCCCGATATGTGTCCGTGCATGTTTTATACAGGATCTCTGTCACCCGATGCATATACTTCCAGATGGACCCTTTCGAGTACAGCAGGAGTGGGGAGCCTTATCCTGAATGAGGACCGAATAGAACTTTTAAAATACCTTAGGTAGGACAGCCACACATTAAAGCTACCGCCTCAGTCACCTGTCACTGCAAGAGGCGTATGCAGTGACATAAGTGTTTGAGAGTGCTAAAATTAGAAAAGCAGTGTCACCAATTGAGAAACATTCCCCTCTAGTACCCGATCAGTGAGGCTAAAAGACGCTCGCAGTGATGGAAAACAATTTGCAGCCTGTTTGTAAGTGGTAGGCTTCACGTGACCGTAGGCCTCATGAAGTGATGTCGCAGGTTGCACACAACCTCGGCTGCCATGTGTTTCCCACCCCAGGGGGGAAAGGAGCGAGGTAATAAGCGTTCACGTAATTCACTTTGGAATATCTCAATGAGCCTCTCATCACTACGGCAAGATATCCGTGCATGCTACATGGAGAGATGCATGCCCATCATCACGTGTTACTCCTAATGAACGTATCTGTACAAATGTGACTTTCCCAGCATTGATGATGAGCTGGGGTGAATGCAACAAAAAAACGAGCGGAAAAACAGATGGGATTTTGTCCAATTGTTGGTGACCGAGCTGATATCATCAAACCTTTTCTCTGCTTGAGAATGTGGTTCAATTTAGACAGAATGGACCCATGATCACAGAGGTGCGGGCTTCATGCTGCCACAGGTACAGCAATAAGCCAAATGCACCCATTCACATATATGGCTATGTATGCTTATGTGTCTTTGCGCCTGTGTCTGCAGAGTACTCTTGTCTCTGT